CTTGTAAAACGTATGTAAAGCATCCAGAAAAAGAAATATGTCAATGTGGTCGTCTAAAACCAACTCATAGTTATACTACACTTGACAAGTTAGTTTTAAATGAAAGAACTGATATTAATGTAAAATGGAACGAAGGTCGCGATTCAAGCTCAGTACCTATTAATGTCTATGGTATTAGATCATCTAATGGTCCAAAATTTATTCGTTGTGATAATCGTACCAAACTATTATCATTATATAATTTAATTCTCAACGATTGTAAAAAGCAAGAACCAACTTTATTAATTAGCGCGTATGGTGGTGCGAAATATTTTACATTGAGTGAACGATTAGAAAAAGATTTTGTTACAGGTATAATCGATTTAGCAACTCGAGCAGGTATGTATGATTTTACATTGAAAGTAGATGTGTGAATGATGAATAGATAACTTACATAAAATAGTTGAAAATTATCTAAATCTCCTTAAGACAATCGAAATATTCTTATAAAAATTGTTTACTCAATAGATGCATGGATTTTAACTGCTGGTGTAAATAATGGGGTAGCAAATTTAATTGGTGAAGGTATTTCACAATATAGTATTTTAAAACAATCTTCAAAATCTATCACATGTATTGGTCTTACACAATGGGGTAGTATAACTGAACAAACACGAATGAAATTGAAACAAGAAACACATGTAAGCTGTTTTTTTTTGTTTATTGCATATCGTATTAAAGAACTTTTTGACTGAATTATTTGTAGGATTATCCTGAAGAACTCAAATCTATTGAACAAACAGATCCTAATACAGAAGAAGATAAAGAAATATTGGAACCAAATCATACACATTGTTTGATATTAGATAATGGCGAATTGAATGGTCATCTAAGTGATAGACCAAGAGCAGCATTTGTTGAAGAAGCAACGAAAAATGGAAGTTGTAAGTTTATTTTATTGTTTCTTAAGGCTTATCATTACCTAATAATCATCAAGTATTTAATGACATTAATCTCACATATTTAGGCTATGGAGTAACAATTATCGTTGAAGGAGGTTTAAATACTTTGGAAGTAGTACAAGCTGATGTACATGCCAAACGACCTGTTGTCCTAATACAAGTCAGTACCGATTATATTTGTTTAGATCTAATTAAATATTTATATAATATTTGTTTTTAGAAAAGTGGTCGAATGTCTGATGTATTAGCTAATTTAATACAATTAACAACAAGTACTGATCGATCTAAACATAGGTATGATCTTATTAATAGTTGGCAAATTTCTTTTTAAATAGAGATAAATTATATTATTTTAAGAGAACCAACGGAACTTGAAATAGAAGAGAATCTTAATGAATATTTTCCTAATCTAAAAGAAGATAAAGACAATAAATCTACTCGTATTACACAAATCATTGATATTATGAAAAATGTTCATCGTAATTTATTGCATGTATATCAACTCGATGCAGAACAAAATATTTCCGAAATAATATTTCAAGCTATTTTCTCAGGTTAGATATTCACGAATTGCAATGATTTTTTTTTATAATTAATATATTTATTTTATAGCTTATAAAGACAATCCTGATGATAAAAAACGTGTTCGTTTGCTAGATTTATCTATAAGATGGAATTTTTTAGATGGTGCAAAACAATTACTTGAAATAAATAATACTAAAAGAGAAAAAGATGGACGAACAAAAGTATGCATAAGAATAGAATTTCAATATAGATTTGTATTAAATATCATTTATTTTATATTTAAGGATAAATCTCTTCTAGGTGATTTATTGAAACAAGCTTTAGAACAAAATCGTCCAACATTTGTCGATTATTTTCTTCGTTGTGGCTATGATCCAAGAGATTTACGAAATGTACCATGTCAAAATTTGACAGCAGCTTTTACGACGACGAACTTAAATAAGGCAACATTATGTCAAAATTTTGTTATGAATTTATACAATCATATCAAAGAAAATGCAAATGAGGTAAAAATAGAAACTAGCTTTGAATTGAATGAATTTTAATACAATAAATTGTTTGTTTCTTTTTTTTGTTTTAGTATCACAACAAAGAGCTAATGAATTTATTTGTTGGTGAAAAAGATGAACCTTTAAAGAATATTCAAATATTGAATCAAAAACTTCGACAATGGCTTGGTTCATATATTGATATAGTTTATATACCTCCCTCAATATCATCAGAGCTAATATTATCTTATAAAAAACAATTCATTAAATTATTTAATAATCAAATTCAACATGATGAACCAAAGAATAATGTACCTTTAACAGATATTATTGTTAATCCTAATGATAATATAGGAATAGGACTAACTGATAATTATTCACAACAAGAAATGTTAAGAGATTTACTTCTTTGGTCGATATTTATGGATCTTAGTACAATGACTAAAATAATTCTAGTTCATATGAAAGAACGAATTTGTGCTTCATTAATTGCAGCAAAAATTTTCAAGACTTATGCTAAAGAAACACCAATAATTGATTTAAAAGATAGATTAAATAAACAAGTAGCTGAATTTGAGACATATTCAGCAAAATGTGTTAATATATGTTATGAAATAAATGAAACATTAACATGTGAATTATTAATGCGAGAAATACCATTGTTTGGAAATGTAACATGTATGCAAGTATGTATTACAAAAATGAATTTCAAATAATCGATATTTTTGATTTAGGTTGCAATTTCAGGAGAAAATGCAAAATTTCTCGAAACAGCATGTTTTGATCATGTACTCAATCAAATTTGGTACAATAAATTAGCTTTATCAAACATATCTCTTTCATCGAAATTTCAACTATTCTGTAGTATGGCAACACTTGGATTTTGTGCACCAAAATTATTAAGTTATCGATCAAAAGACGAACTTTATTTAAATGTAAGTATTGATTTTGATAGAAATTATATAAATAGAAGAGATTAGATATTTATGATGAAAAAATTCAAGATGCTCCTTTGCAAAAGATCATTTTTTATCATTGTGAATATTTCGGTAGCCTGTGGACACGTATCTTATTGAGATTGATAAAGAATTTCACGTGTAGTTTAGCACAATATATTTGATTCAACTCTACGCTAATGAAAGACAAATATTCGATACTTGTTTGTGTTAAATATAAAATACTAGCGAGATCCTACGCATACTACACGGTTGATTTTTCCTGCAGAGTTTCACATCTATTCTTTAACTCCCTCCGTCATAGTCTTATCATCTTTGCCCCTTGATCGTTGGTGTGGTACACTATAGAATAAAATTTGATCGTAGTTTTCTTCAACTGTCTCAATTATCTATTTGATAGGAAACACGTGAACAACAAGATAAACCAACAAGGCATGTAAAAATATTTCGAATTAATAAGTTTAATAATTTTAATTTTATTAAGAATGTCATCGAGTGGTATTAACTATTATATGGAAGATGATCAACCTACCTACTGGAAAAAATTTCGTAGTTTTCATGAAACTCCACTAGTTAAAATGTGTTATCATTTCGTAAGTCATCAGTTTGATAAAATTATGAAAAACTTACTAAACTATTTTTCTTTTTCAACTTAGATTTCCTATGTTTGGTTTTTATTAACATTTAGCTATATGATGCTTTATCATTTTGAATCTCCTTCTAATATAAATGGTACACTTCATTGGACTGAAATTCTAATTATCATAACAGTTACAACAATGCTTTTAGAAGAAATACGTCAAGTATATTTTATACTAAAAATTTCCATTATATTCATTTATAATTTTAGATTGTTTATGATTTACGTAAGAAAATGTTAGAAAAATGGAATACTACAACTCGTCTAATTCTTACTAAATTGACAAATCCTTTCTATGCTCTACCATATTTACTTTTCTATTTGGGTATCTTTTTACATTATGCATTTGGTAATACACCAGCTGTTTTAAGCGCAGCACGAATTATATTAGCATTCGATTTGGAATTATGGTATCTTCGTTCGTTAAAATTTGTTATAGCTTTAAAATTTTTAGGACCAAAACTTTTTATGCTTCAAAATATGGTAAAGAAGAAAGAGTTAAGGAAACTATATATAATTTATTTCTCATTCCTTTAGTTACGTGATTTAGCTGCATTTGTCTACATGATATTTATTGCTATTGCTGCGTATGGTGTTGTTTCACGTGCATTGTTCATGTACAGACAAGTGCCATTTACTGTGCATGGTATATTTGAAAATATATTCTATTCGCCATATTGGTTCATTCATGGACAATTTAATGATACAATAACACTTGATAGTATGAAAACTTTCTTTCCCTCTTCAATAAACTATATTTAATTTATAGATATAATACATGATCCAAATGCTACATTCATTGCCGAAGCTACAGCAACACATGTTCTATTAGCATTTCATATGTTATTTATTAATATTTTACTTTTGAATTTACTTATCGCTGTCTTTACGTAAGTTGATTTCATTTTATTTTTCGATATTATAATATTCTTCTAGTCGTACTATTGATGAAGTTCAGAAAAATACTGAATTCTATTGGCGTTTTCAACGTTATTCATTTGTACGTGAATATTACGAACGACCATGGTTAGCTTATCCACCATTGATTATTATACCGCATATTTGGATTGTTATACGTGCTCTATGGAAGACACAATGTTGTTGTACAAATGGAAACAACACTACTAAACATAATTCTGTTACAGCACCAATTTTTAGTAAGATCAATCAAGTTAAACTAAAATAAACATGTAAATATTTCGAACGTTTAGAAATGATTCCATTAAATCGTGAAGTGTTGAATGAACAATGGGATAAATTTGAAAATGCAGCTACATATAGTTATGCTAGATCAGTTACTAGTTCTGAAAAAAAGAAAGATTTACATCATCAAACAAAATCATCCGAACCGTTAGCAGATAAAATTGCTAACTTAATAGATTATACTTCTATTTTTCTTTAGAACAACCGCCGTACAAACACATGAAGATATGCAAAAACAATTAAATGAAGTATATACTAATATTTTTCTATCATCATATATTTTTCTTAATTTTAATTGTTTATTTTCTGTTAAGATTACGGCCTCATTGAAACGATTAACAGATGCATTAACTCGATCAGATTTAAATAGAGAACCTGTATTATAATATGATTAACAATGTGTTGTAAAGAAAGAGAAAAAAATTAATATTATATAAAAGAATGATATATAGAGTTTTTATCAAGGGGGTAATAGCTGGCACCCAGCACCGAAAAACACCGAACAGGTGCTGAGGTTCTGAACGGATGCTCAGGTGCTGAAAAGGTGCTGAGGTGTTGAACAGGTGCCGAATAGGTGCTGAGGTGCTGAGCAGGTGCTGAAGTGCTGAGTAGGTGCTGAATAGGTGCTGAAGTGCTGAGATATTAATTGGTTTTGTAATGTAATATATAAAACAAACGACTGTATTGTGACTGATTAAGAGCGTTCTCTATCGGACTCGTTAATATACGTTAATAATAAAGAAATTTTTATAAGTACTCAATCAGAAAAATACCCATTTTATAATATTTTCCCGTTTAATTTAATTCTTTTTACACTACTTTCTGATATTAAAAACGAAGTTTCGTTAAATATCGTTTATTTCAGATAATTAGTTTAGCTAATTTCGTCATCAACATTTGCTACAGAAAATAATAATTATGGTTTGCCAAATGATATTTTTCATTATAATAATGATCAGTTTTATAATTACAAGTAGCGTTCATCGAAACTCGATTCACTTGGCCCTAGACTGCCGCGGACTGCATTCTGATATAACTATATTTAGATACGAATGAGAGTTAATCAAAATTAGTTTTGACTTTCGGCAGAAAATCAAATTGAATTTCTGGCTTATATAAAATCAAGCATTTTCTAAAATTTTCATACTTGTAGAATGCAGAATAAAGTTCAAAAATGCTTGAGCTTTATTAAATTCAGTTTTATAAAAAGTAGGATTTCAAAAAAATACTACAGTGCAGATTTCTTTATCATTATATATCAAAACTGATTTGGAACTCTTTTATCTATATGCACTATAGCAAGACTATTAAACTAGTAAGCTGATTAAAAATGTTTTGCAATAATGCAACAACTAAACTTTTAAAACTATCAAATTATAATGCGTATGTTTTTTAGCTTCTAATCCTGTATCTTATTTTATTGAGTTGTCGTACAGGACGTTTCGACGCATCATTGTTTTTTTCAAACATGCATTAGAAATATTTATCAATGATAATGAACGAGATGCTATATAAAAATAGGCGAACCTTTTTTTCAAAGTTTTATAATACTCTGTGTATAAGAACATTTTGTTTTTTTGTTATTAATATTATTTTCATCTTTATCCATATTCAAAGTAAAATTAGCGTTGCCACATTATTTTAATTTGTTCAATATAATAATGATCTATATATAATTAAGAAATATTTGAAATATTTAAGCCCGCGCCTTTTTTAACAAATAAATTAAATATTTTATATTAAATATTTTGCTATTCAAATATTTGAGTTAGCGCCCTTTTTAACGAATAAATTAAACATTTAAGTTTGCGCTCTTTCTAACAAATAAACTAAATATTATACTATTCAAATAAAACGATAATAGCAAAGAAAAATTGTATTATAAAAAATATGCCTTAGTTACATGGTTATACGCGCCCGAAAATTGTTCATTTGTGCCAAAAAATGGTCAAATGTGCCAAAAAAATGGATGTGGGTGTGGGTGTGGGTGGGTGCTGAATAAGGAAGAATACAACGCCTACATCCTCACCCTCAAGATATGTGAGAATACTTTTCGAATTGCACGCTCATTATCAGGTTCATTTTCGTCAAATACAAATTTTAGTGTAAAATCATTTTTAAAAAGATGCGAAAAAATATCAGTAATCAATTCAATTAAAAATCTTGCTGGGCACATAAGAAATTATCAGTTTAATTTTCCACAACATCATAAAAATCATAAAGATACAATTAATTATTCAATAGGACATGTTAATGAATTGAATTTGACTGGAAATGATATTGAAATTATTATCAAAAATGCATTTGAAGCAGCTCAAGAGTATGTTGCAATGGTTAATATGACTCATTTTTTGGAAAAAAATCTATACATTATCAGGTTTAAATACATTTACAAAAACAATTTTAAATAAATCATTATCAAAGATTATCGACTATACAGTTGATAATAATAGTTCCGATTAAGATTCTAATGAAGAAAATTGTTCTGATGAAAATGATGTTTCGAATGTATTAAATAATGAAGAACAATTATCACCAAACAATACCGATGATGAAGAGGAAGGAAATACAATAGCAACTGATATTCCTGATACAGCACAAAAAAGTTCAATGGTTGTCGTATATACGACAAAATCAATCCACAACAATCAAAGAAATATTTTCGTATACGTATGGGTTCATCATATAAATTTATACACAAACAAACGGCTTGTTGGTTACTTACAACAGATAAACAACGATCTTCAAGTGATCGATTACTACGTGTTCAGCAATAAGGAGTAAAATAACATAAGTCCTATTTGCAATTGTTTACATTTGATTTTTGATATTTTTGTTGATGCAGCCTTTCGTGTTGCTGTTTTTCATATAATTTTTGATATTTTTCTTTATATAGTTGTTTATGTTATGAAGTATTTTTGATATTCACTTTTATGAAATTTTTATATTTTCATATGGTACTTGTATGAGATGGAAACTTTCTTCGGTATCATTGAGAACAAATAGGCTTTTTATGAATTATTTACATATTACTGAACTTAGTTTCAAGTCAAAACAATGTTGAAATAATATTGTTAAAGTGATATAATATTGAGCAGTATTTTTCTGC